TCTCTCTCTCTCTGTCTCTATCCCAATGGCAATCAATTCGGTTATCGATTCGGTTTCGAACCAGAAAACATCGCTCTTGGGCGTCCTCTTGCCATACCTGTATTTTGCTATCAGAAGCCAATGTTTAACCCTCTTCGTAACACGCATTTTTATAATGAATCATACTACGTCGTGACTCTAAGATACTTGTGCGAGTCATGGCAACAACTAAAATGTTATTGTTTTCATTCATAACACAAATCGATTTATATATCCAAACTAGTTAATATATACATACAAATATAAAATGGTACGCACAGGCTGTATATTTCTTGAGAATGTAATTTGGAATAATTGAAATACTTCAATTCAAAGTTTGAACACACGAAAGTTTAAAGAGAGACATCGTGGGCGGATTAAGTTTATTCAATAGAAGATTATATCATTTTTCTATTGTTTTTCAAATTGACATAAACAGCATCACAGCATCGATATCACATAAAATTTTTATAAACGTCGTTTGAAAGTTGCCACTTCATAAAGCTAGGTTCGTCTGTCTGTGTGTGTCTATCCCCCTAAAAATTTAACATGAATATTAATCGCGCAGAACTGAGTACTGAGCTGAAACACGGACACGCCCAAAAGGAATCAGAAAAGGAAAAGCAATTTTATAATATTGTTCTGTTCGAAGTTGTATTTGTGCACTTGCAATCCCTGAGATATCGCCTATGCGTGTGGTACGGTGATGGTTGGAAAGAAATGAGGAACGATATGAAAAGATAGGGGATGAACGCAGTGGCAGCACTTACTACGACCAAGTATTATGGCCAAAACCATACTGAGATTTGAGCCAAGCAAACACCGTCTTGATATTCATCAGCCTTATTTACTCGGCTACATGGAAGTCCTTCGATTGAAAGAATTGAAAGAAAAGCTATCACATCAGTTCTTTAACTTAAGTCTTCATCTAACAGATTTAAAAGCCGCTTGTCGGGAAAAAGTTCAGGAACATTATGAAAGTGATCCTACAAGTAATTTATAACTTATAATAAATATCAGTACAAATTTGAGCACAATTATTTACTAGATCGAGATCATACAACTTTCGATAAATCGATATTAACTTAACGCTGGGATTGTCGTCTAAAGCAAAAATAATGCCCGGGTTTATTAAGCATAGAAATACCTATGCAAAAGCCAACAAGTAGAAACAAAATATGTGGGGTCACAGCCCACCATTAAATACCCTACACTATTTCGTTCAATACAGTTATTCATTTAATGAGTTTTTTAAAACTTTAATTTGCCCTTAGGCTAAAGCATATCATGTCTCAGCATATCTCGAAAATTTGCGGCGTGTAAGTAAAATACAAGAAAAGAAAGGAGACATGGGGACAGACAAGCTTAAATCGATTCAGTAAGTGATTCTGAGTCGATCAGCAAAATAAAAGGTGGAGCCGGAGTTTTGCATACATCCGTACCAATCTAATATATCTTTGTCTTTTACACTGCGACTTTATGAACGATTCTTACAAATGCTTATGGCATTTCAAACGCGCACACTATATAATATGCGTTACATTATCTTAAATGGGGGAGATAGAGAGAGACAAAGAAATAAATAAAAATAAATAAATTAAAGATTAATTTTTTAGCTAAACATTTAACTAAAAAAAACCTAAGCTGGACAGCATATTTATTTAATATTCGGGCAAACAAAACAATGCGTTGATGATTAGAGCCCAACTTCAAGGTAAAACAAGTGAATGCAAAAATAATAAACCATTAACCGTTTATGGCATTTCTTAGTTATAGTAGTAATGAATGAAAGTCTTGAGAAAGGAAAAACATTCAGAAACGAGCTGACAGCTTATTCTAGAAAATCATATATATATTGCTTCTTTTTTTTTTTATAAGCAGGATGATGATCAGAAATCAAAAGATGGCAATCTAGGAGGTGTTTACTCGACTGGTAAATAAATGTTACATAATCTTTGAAATGGACCCTTCGCTTCCACAAGGTACTTGGTCGAAGAATGCATTAAAAATATACATATATATATATATATATATATATATATATATATATATATATTTATATTATTATATATTAGTTCCAATACTTTTCAATTTATTTAACGTAATATATAAATAAATATGAATATCGCTCGTTGCTAATTTCATTTTGACAAGAGTTATTAGTTTTTATTTCTTTTACCACTTGACACATATACATGTAACCCCATAAATTTTCATAATACGGCATTTTATTTATGCGCTTATCTTAAACTTTATAATACCGGTTCAGATAGAGAAATGATTTTCATATTCAAAAATCTTTGTTTATTTTTTATTATTTACATTTAGTCAATGCTTGCAATGAGAAAGAGAAATCGAATTAAAGACACCGAGAGAGAGAGAGAGAGAGGAAGAGAGGGATAGAAGGATTCTAAGTTTCTTCCTTATTGCAAAAAGCAAAAACGAAAGGAACAATGTCCACACAGTACTATACATAGTACAAAGATTTGAGTTATGTGTGCATTTTTAAAGAGAAATAATGAGTGAATGAATGAAACGATAAATAATCGAAATACGATACAAGTTTTGTTAAACACTAAGAGATTATGTTAAAAGTATTGAATTATCTAACGATAGGCATGATTGATTGATTCTTAATGAACTAATCTTAGTGAACAGTAATGAGCGAAGAGAATCTATGAAATGAATGAAATGGAATAGAGTTTCACGGAACATTTAACTCTTACTTTCTTTCTTCTAAATCGAATGACGTGCACATGAACATTTAATTATTTTTATTATTATTTTTTTTTTTCAATTTCATCAATTGATTGAAATCTACTTGTGCATGTGTGTGTGTGTGTGTGTGTGTGTGTGTGTGTGTGTGTGTGTGTGTGTGGGTGTGTGTGTGTGTGTGTGTGTGTGTGTGTGTGTGTGTGTGTGTGTGTGTGTGTGTGTGTGTGTGAGTGTGTGTGTGTGTGTGTGTGTGTGTGTGTGTGTGTGTGTGTGTGTTGAAGTGGAAAGCAGGATTCAGAAAAATGTGATTTATTAACGTATGAAATAGGGGAGAGAAAAGCATGCATAATATATGCATATATATAATGCAGCTAATTATCTTGAATTATCTTGAAGGGGTATTAAGAGGGAGAGACACGTTTGCTTAGAAAATCAACAAACCGTGGTTCCATACGTAAAATTCATATTCTTTTCTCTACTTTGCTTTTGAAACCAAAACGGTTCTTTTTTTGTTTTTTCTCTCCTTTTTCGGTTTTTTTCCTTTGGCATTCTAAGCAGGTGTTTCAAACGAAAAGGACTTTTATTACTTGTTGATAAAACACCACGTGAAAGCATGATAATAGCATAATAATAATGTATTATATTTATTTATTTAATCACCCACCTGGAATACAACAGATAAGTAACTAACTAATTGTTGCCCTGTTTTCTATATGTACAATCCAAGCAGATTAAGCTCACAGTAGATACTCGCAGATGCAACACGAGGAGCAATTGCGAACAGCAAACAACAAGATCAACAGCACAACACCAACACCAACACCAACGGCAACAGCAATAACAATAGAGCAGTGACGGTGAGAGTAAGGATTGTGGGAAATATATGCAAAATTTTGCAATTGGAGTGTTTGAAGAGTAAGAAACCACAACAACAAACGTTGCACTAAATAAGCTGCATCAAAGCATGCATTGAATTTAGATCCGGTTTCAAGAAAAATCACAAATAGTTTGCTTTTTTTAACATTTACATATATATTTTTCCTTGGAATTTTAGTTAAGCGGTTGTTGTTTTTACTTTATTTCATAAAATAATTTCGATTTTCGTCAGCTTTTTTTTTTTCTTAATAAATTTCTAAATTTTTTATATTTGTTTTTTTTTTTACTTCTTTTTTTCAGATTAAAAAAATCATTTAAAATTCAATTTGTTGAAATTTATTAAAGAATAATTAATTAACTTTCTTAGCATTTGAATACGCACACACTAGTACACTAGCATTAATGAAATTTTGATTTTTTGAATTTATTTATTTATAAAAAAATTTTTTACATTTTTTTTATTTTCTTTATTTATATGTTTTATATATGCAAAGGAGATGATGATTGCAAATATAAGAATAACGTTTTTGTGTGCGTATGTGTTTTTATTTTTGTTTTTTTTTTTTTTTTTTTTTTTTTGTTTTAATAAATTTTTTTTTTTTTTTTTCTTCTAAATTTCACCCAAACTCAGGGTTTGTCATTTGAATTGAAAACACAAAAAAAAAAAAGAAAAGAAATGTGTATTATGCGCGCGCGTCTAGTTCATGCCATGGGTAACCGCAGAATGGTTAATACACCTGCTTGGTCATAGTGAAATACTTGGCATATGTACAAAAAAATTTCATCTTACTCTTCTCAATTTAAGAAACGTTACCACAATAACGTTAACAAAACAACATCGACTACGAAAAAACAACGTCTGCTGATAAAATGACAACAGCAAAACCAACACAATCATGATATTAGCGGCAGTAATATTGATAAAGACGCCGACCTCTACATATATATATATATATATATATATATATAGATATACATGTGTATACAGCTTATGCGCTATTGAAAGAGAAAAATTTCATATGAAGCTTTTATGTGAAAAAGCTCTCATCTTGCAGTTTTTCAAACTTTCTGCATCATAAGAACCACATCCGACAGTTATTGGCTGAATTTGTCTGCAGCCACGGCTACCGTAGTTAAACTCAACAGAAATGTTCATAGTGCCGGTACTTTGTGTTTGTTAGTTTCGTTGATATTGTTGTTTTTGATTTGTTTTTTTTTTTTTTTTTTTTTTTTTTTTTTAATGTATACAATGTGTACAATGCCTAGTATGTCGTAAGTAAGCTCTTTTATAAAACTCTCTTATATATGTATTATTATTGTTTGCGCAGATGCTCGCGAATTTGTAAATTGCTTCTGTTTACTTCACTATTTCCCTCATCTCATCCATTCAAACAACAACAATAATAACAACAAATAAAAGTGGCCATTATTGCCTCCATTGCCTCCACCACCAACAACCTTCTCTTGTTTCACTCCTTCCACAATCGGCACACTAACTTTCTTTCCTAGTACGCTTTCATTAAACATAGACCATTATACAGTCATTTAGTCGCACTGTCTGAGTTTCTTGCTGTCCATTGCTTGATTTGTTTAGTTTGTATACTTTATCAATGTAAGTGCATATATAAACGTATAACTGGTCGTCAGCTTGTTTGCCGGTCGCTTTGACTTCATGTCATTGGACATGTCTAGCTCAGTGTGTCATTGCAAAACTACTTTCAATTGAACAGTTTCGAGAGTAAAAATGTGCAAAAAGATCTTCCTCGTCTTTGCCAATGTTTTATTTCGCTAAAGCCTGTTCCATCATCAATTCTGCGTAATGTTTTCGTCATTTGTCGTTGTTGTCGTTGAATTTGTTGTTATTCGTCTTGTTGTTGTTGTTTTTGTTGTTTGAATGGTTTATTTATTTATTTTGTTTTTTTTTTGTTTTTTGTTGATTTCAATGCTTTTATTTTACTACACTATACTATACAATACTGGCGCGATTAAGTACGTTTAATGTGCCGTAATATTATTAAAGAGAAAGGCACCAATATTAAATTGGAACAATTAAAAGCGGAGGTGACACCGGTCCAAATAAATATTAATTTTTGCTACAACAGATTAAAAGATTATACAATTAAGCTCAATTTACCAGGAAAAGTTTTCATTTCAAGACAAAAAAAATAACTAATTAACAAATACATAAACAATTATCAGCTCATCGAAATTAAATTATCTTTCGTGACACAAGCTTGCAGCCGCAGCCCTAGTGAAAGTGAATCTGACAATGGCCCATTAAGCATACAAATATTGTATAGCGGCCCAGAAGATAGTATTATTTCTAGTATTTCCATCTCTCTTTCTCCTTTCGCCACTTTCCCCAAGTTTTTCACTATCTCTCCTGTCAGTTGACAGATATCGTTCACTTAGTTGATCGATTTCTTGCTTGCAATCTCTTTTCTATTTATCGAATATATATGTTTATATATTGTAAATATTTACTGATATTGATAATTGATTGTGTTATTATCATATAACTAAAAACAGAATTAAGAATTTTATCCTTACATACAATTAGTTATATAATTTTATATTGTTCTTACGTAGGTTTTGCGGTAACTGAATCAAGGCACTAATGCGCTGGGCTATAAAAATGTAAATGATTTTACCGCCCAGTTTTCACTCGGTTAGGTGGTAAGGCCAAGGTAACAGCCTAGGTAAAATCTCCAGATTTGCATCTCTGGGCAAAGAAAATATTTTAGTCTAATATGATGCTTTTTTTTATTTATTTATTTATTTATTTTTTTTTTTTTTACATAAAGTCTTTCGAACTGTTGCGTGCAACTTTAACGATAGTCTGACTAACAGTCGACGCTGAACGGATCAAGCATAACGACCAGTCTTTAACAGATGCAGCGAAAGAGAAACGCTCTAACATAAAATTTTCGAGAAAAAAGAAATGAGAAAGTTGACGTGAACACGGAAGAATAACTGTATAATTGTGTGTATAGCAGATTATTGGTAAAAAGTTGAAAACACACTTGCACTTCTATATATTAATGTCGACGAGACATTTCGAATCTTTGAGCAGGTAGTTCTCGAAAGACAAATTTTCGAATTGTTATTATTATTATTATTATTATTAATTTCGCCAGAGAAATAAATTCTAAGACTAAACTCTTAAAAGCACTAGCATCTAAGGCTATCGGCTTTTATTAAAAACTCTACCGCATTTGAGATTCGAACCCAAGACCATTGAGTGGCTAGTCGAGATTACTCGCCTTCGGCCACTCAGGCGGATTTGAAATGTTAACTTCAAAAATTTCTTTCTTTTTCTCAATGGAATTTTGAACAATTTCTTGAAGTACCAAAGGAATGTTTGTTCAGTTAATTTAAACATTATTTTTCAATAATTGTTTTTACCTCCTTTTTGCTGAGATTGATGAATTGTTGCATCAAGTGAATTATTATTTTCAGTACCAAGATTTCCATCCGATACACTTGGTGCTTGCGGCAAAAATTGCGTCACGTAAATAGCTCCCGTGTCACCAAGTTGTTGATATTTCCTAAAGATCATTTTTCGTTTCAATCTTATATAATAGCTTAACAACTTCCGCCATTATTATTTTGCTATTACCTTTTTTTTTATTGAAAAAAAAAAAAAACCAAAAAACACTCCTTCTTAGACCTGCAACAGTAGGCTTACTATTTACAATTATCGTTGCATTTAGTTTATAAAAAAAAGAAAACAAAAGACACGATCCACGAATAAATATCTTACAGTCTGCAACAGTGTTCGTGCCCTGAATTGCGACCAGTAACTTGAACAAGAATTTTTATGGACAGAGATCAGAAAGACAGACGGACAGACAGGCTATCATTTTCTGAATCGATTGGTGTAATAAAAAGTGGATATATCTTAAGCCCTTCTACGTATTATATACGTCCGCACAAACTTAATATACCCTGTACCAAATATGGTGTAGGGTATGAAAAGAAAGCTTAACATAAGCACCTCTTAATGATATCTATTGGCATATTAAACAAATTAGAAGTCAAACAGTTGCCGACAGCTGAAGGTTCTTCGCAGAGAAAACGGGTAATTTGTAGGAAAAATATTCTTTCAATTATCAAATTTGCTGCTTCATATACTGGAAGGTTCCAACTATCTCTTGACGTAATAAAAAAACAAATTGATTTTCTGAAAAATTTACAGTTGCGTTACCCCAAAAGTCACACAAAAATATTTGAGCGAAGGGCGCTCTTGTGGTACAGGTCATATTAAGTATGTGCAGACGTATGTACCACCCAGAAGGGCTTAAGATTAATCCGCCTTATATTATACCGATCGGTTCAGAATCATTTTTTGAATCGCTCGAAGTCTGTCTGTCCGTCTGTCGTTCAAGTTCACATGGACAGGTCGATGTGAATTTGTGTTCAAACTACAAGTCGTAAATTTTGATTGACGTGTTTTGATCCAAGAACGAACGATCGGTCCACTTATTCGATCGTTATTTATACAACGTCTTATTTCGAAAACCTATTGTGTGAAAATTTCAAAATTCTTTGACCAAACTTTTTGTGTAATAATATTTCCACATTCTAAATTAGTATACAGAATTTCGTTCGGCTGGAGCAATTTTGTGAACCCCCTCTTATATAACCGTGTCAACGGAAAGTGAATCTTTATATGGAAGAAAGGTGTAGTTTTCGATATTTCACGTACAAAATAGTTTCATAATAGTAAATGGACATAAAAAGGAACCTTGCCGAATTTGGACCAAGTAGACCTATTTTTTGGATACCATCGCACATAAGGTTTCTCACGAAATGTAAGCCATTATACACCAAAAAGGCCTACTTGTGGCATGTTTTATGATGAGATTTTGTTTATGATAGTAATTAAATAGAAAAATTAAATGGACATAGTTAGAACCACGTTGTCTCCATCTCCATTAGAATCCATTCTATATAAAATTTCTTATAAACAGTAAATCGTTCAGAAAACGAGCTAGTTTTGAATAGTTCATAATGAAAATTGGTCCGTAATAGCAGATTAACGATAGGATATTTAGATCACTTAGGTCTATTTTTTAGACCCTAACATATATTATAAGGATTATCATAAGAAGCGTGGCGTTATGTAGAAAGAAAATTTAATTTGTAGTTTTCCTTGACGGAAACTGAAAAATAATAAAATTTCTGGAAAGTA